ATTTTCAGCAGAAAATTGCTCAAACTTAGTCAGAATCATCTTGGGTAAATGAGAGTTTTACTTTGTAAAATTAGGATTCCTGCCCCATCCCCAGGGGCTAGGGCGGGGCCCCAAAGGGAACATTTACCAATATTTTCAAATTCTTATCCATTGATGACATGACAAGTATTGTATTTCACTTAGTTTACATGCTGATTTCCACATCACATCTAAACAATAAAATAAAGCTACTAGTACCTATGATATAACTCAGGTGACCGCTAAGGCCCTTGGGCCTCTTGTTGAGAAAGCTAACTAGATTCTAGTTTCAAACATGAACACCGACCCGACCACCAGCGGGTCACTAAAGGTTATTCAGTGTTCTCAATAACAGCACTCGATTGTATATAATTATAGCATCGCAATTTTTTATGTTACTCAGACTTATGAAAGTTTTGGCGTCAAAACATTTTTGTGGTGAGACTTGCTGGCATTTTACACGTATTTGCTATAAATGACACACACACACACACACACACACACACGCACACACTCCAACCTGCCTACACAACACAACCTACAAACTGGTGTCGGACACAGCGACGTGCCTATTTTTTTCAAAATTAATTAATTCTGTTAATGGAAATGACGCAGGTGTACAGCCACACGATGGCAATAACTATGTGTAACGTTCCGGGGTCCGTACCCTAGTCACTTCTAAGGATCCCTGTGCTGTAAGCTTTATTATAACTATACTGCAGTTGCAAATATATACAAATATGTGTTACTACCTTGTAACCAGCATACCTATTACCTAATGCTTAATACATGATATGAACCGAATAATTACTGCACGACTATAGAACTAATACCAAAGCTATCTGCTCTGTATCAAAATAACACACTACACACACTACCGTACAATCCAGGCAGTACACAACTCGACTACCTAGTCGCGGCTAGCCCTAGTCACTATAGTTGCAATATAGTCAGCTATTTACATGACCTAGTCGTGTCGAGCACGACAGCCTTATATATACTAATATACAACTACGGCACTCTAATAACCACGACTACCCCTAGTCACGACAAGCTCTAACAACTATACCTAGTCACGACTAGCCTGGTCGCGACTACCCCTAGTCACGACTAGCTCTAACAACTATACCTAGTCACGACTAGCCTGGTCGCGACTACCCCTAGTTACGACTAGCTCTAACAACTATACCTAGTCACGACTAGCCTGATCACGACTAGCTCTAACAACTATACCTAGTCACGACTAGCCTGGTCGCGACTACCCCTAG